AACGCGCAGGAACACACCGACTGCCGGGCTGGCCGCAGCCAGGGCTGGAGAAATTCCTTAAAAATGAATCAAAAATGAATTTTCGAAATGAAACTTTACCTTTGTTAAGCGCCTGTGCTACCAGCTCAGCCCTCCAGTCACTGAAGACTGATGGACAAAATGAAGCCACTGTTACAGTTGTCTGGAAAAAGACCTAAAAAAATTAAACACTTCAATGTATGTGTCCAGTGGACTGTATGACAGGTCTCAGTTGTTGATCTTGCAGTTTGTCCCTTTTAAAGTTCATTGAAGGCTAAGGTAGAGGTCGTATTGCCACTTGAAAAGGCATCCTCTGGAGTTTTGAGCCTGTGGAGCTGTTTCACATGAGGCAGAGTATGACTCATGCTAATGAAAAGGGTAAAGAAGATTTTTTTTTAAAGAAATATATCGCAGTTAAATTAGTTTAGACAGCATGACATCAGAGAGTAATTAAATAGGTTTGTTGGAATTCCGTTTCCAATTCCTGAGTTCAGGTTTGTAAAAGATTTCTGAGCACCTGCAGGTCTCTGTGTGTGAAATATTTTAACTGGAAAGGATTCAAAACTTTAAAAAAACCTTTTAACACAGAGGCAGCATTACGCCATTCTTCCTTCTTGGAAAAAAAAAAAACACCCTTGGATTTAAACAGGACTCCTTCAAGTTTTCAGTCAGTTTTACAGAAGAAAACGAGGTGGTAAACGTTCTCTTTTCAAGAACAAGTTCTTTATAGCTGCTAACTGAAGTCAGGGGACCTCGTATCTGAGTACCTGAGCATTTCCACTATGGGACTGGATACAAGTACTGAAAAACAAGATTTGAAATGTTTTAATCTCAAACAAAAACCATTTTTACCGGCTTTGGGTTTTAATTGCTTTCATGTTTTCTTCTGCCAAACTGGAGGAACCTTTTCTGATTTTTTCTTTAGTGGCATTCAGAGGAAGACCAGAGGATGAAAATCCTGCATTTTCTCACTTTACTGCTTTGGCATTTGACTTGGCTGTCTCTGGATCTAGTTTCTGGAGCACTGAGTAATTCTGAAGCAGGCCAGAGTAATCCAGGATCTAAACTAGGTTTTCTAAAAGCAGAAGGAAAAGAGAGGAATCCCTCAGCACGGGCAGTTACGCTGAGGACTGCGAGCCATGGATATAGTACTGGGACCTCAAAGGCTAGGACTAAAAGCAGTGCTGTTCAGGCTGGAGCTGTGCTGGCCAAGAATGATGAATCAAAGAAGGTTCTCTCAAGAACAGCAGCCACGGAGGGCAAGGTAGGACATCTCCCCAGCAGACCTTCTGGAGTAAGGACAGTGACTCCAAAGGTTCAAAATCTTAGCAGCAAGGTGGCTGTGAAAAAAACTGGCACAAGCATTGACACTGATTCTTTCAAAACCAAAAAGCCTAAAGAGCCTGTAACCCAGAGGGAAGCTAAGGAAACTTTCAGACATCCCCCTATAACGCCACATGAATACATGCTCTCTTTGTACAGGACTCTCTCAGATGCAGAAAGAAAAGGTGTTAATGGAAGTGTAAAACTGGAGGCTGGACTTGCCAATACAATAACCAGCTTTATAGACAAAGGACAAGGTAAGAAAGCAGCCCATTTGTGTGTGTGTGTGTGGACAGAGAGAGAGAGATGTCTGAGTGTGTTTATACATGCAGTGAGTATTAGAAAATTATAATGCTTTGTTACAGTCCAATAGCTCTTCTTTTTTATAAATTAAATGGTACAATTTTGCTGCAGATTTTGTCCTCCTGCCTTACCTTGGAAAATTCATTTAGAGGCAGGACTAGATGGTTGTGTGGCAGCCAAACAAAACATTTAGAAAATATTTTAGATGCGCATTGTTGAAAACCAATCAGTCTTTGCATGCTTAGGGGTTTAAAAACCTTTAAAATTTTTATCTTATTTTCTTTCCATAACTAGCTCCTGGAAACTGCTAACATTAGATTTTATTGCAAAGTATGTCTAAAAACACATGATATGCTAAGAACAGCTCTATTACGTGAAAAAAAAACCACAAGTCTAAGTATGAAAGGGTCATCCTGATTTGTTCAAAGTAGAACTGTGAGGACCTGTGAGGAGCTCTACTCCTGTCGACCCAGGAGTCATGATATGGCAGAGTGGGTGTATCTGTGCTAGCTTGAAGCTCACGCTTTCAGGTACAAGCAACCTTCTATCCACAGAAGCCCACATCTAAGCACAGACTACCAAGAGTAATAACTCTGTGGAACATGTGGTTCAGCAATCTGGTTCCAAATGTTTTTGGAAATTTGGACTAGTGTCTGCTTTCACATAAGAAATAACCAGGCTCCCAAAGAATGGTGTTCACCTTACCACTCTGGCTGGAGAGCCCCATGGTCCTTCCAGTGATGTTAGTAAGAGTTTTGTCATGTACCTAAGGAAGCAACACAGGCTACAGCTCACAAGGTACTGGTGATGGGAGACTCAGCCAGGACTGGATTTGTTTGCTGTTTAATTATGAATAGTTTGGCTTCTGGAAAGGGATGATACACTGCTCATCAGTGCTGCATTCAGGTTCTCAGCTTGGCACTGGCAGGCTTTGTTACTGTAACATAGTTAAGACCTTGGCTCAGCCATATTCCTTGGTAGTGCTGCTCGTGAGCTTCACTAAGCAAACATAACATCAGATTAAAGGCAGGTATGTTTTTCTGCCCAATTTGAAAAACTTGTGAAACATGTGAAGTTAAGTTAATAAGGCAATTATCCTTGTGTCTGGCAGTTCCTGGAGGATGTGGGTTTTAAAGGACTAATTCACTATTGTGTCGTCTAAGAGTAAATTTGCTCATGTTTGGAGCCAGCATGAGGCCTGGGCACCACTGCAGCTCTGTTTTGGTAATTGAAGTAGGATCTAAGTGGTGAATAGGCCCTGTGAGTGCTCAGCCCTGAAAAAGGACTGTTTTTCAATTGGCTAATTGCTGCTTTGAGGCTAGAAAATGCTGGCTGGTGAAAGAGGTAAGATTTCTACAAGGCAAACTCAGAAACTCATGTCCCTGTTGAGTCACAGAGTTCTTCTGGGTCCCTGCACAGAGCTGATCCTTTAAGACAAAAATTGCTCTTTCTGTTTGGTGGGCTAATTGAGGAAGCTTCTAGAATTATGATGAAATTTCAGGAAAACCATTAAGAATGTAATAACTGATACTGATCTGTGCTTGACAAGCATTTTAAAATGTGTGTGCTTCTTCTAGATGAACGAGCACCAACTATAAGAAAACAAAAATACATTTTTGACATCAGTGCATTAGAAAAAGATGGTTTGCTGGGAGCAGAGCTTCGAATATTGAGGAAGAAACCTTCTGACACATGGAAGTCTCATTCTTCTGGAAAAACCTCCCAAGTGAAATTATTTAGTTGCTCTACAAACAGACAAGCGGCAACACTCCTGGACTCTCGTACTGTCAGTATCACAGATACACCAAAGTGGGAAGTGTTTGACATCTGGAAACTTTTCAGAAACTTTAAAAATTTGGTTAACTTGTGTTTTGAACTGGAAACTTTTGACAGGGGGAGAGCTGTTGATCTCAGGAGCGTGGGATTTAATAGAACGGGAAGACAAGTCAATGAGAAGGCTCTCTTCTTGGTATTTGGGAGGACAAAAAAAAGAGACTTATTCTTCAACGAAATCAAAGCTAGATCTGGCCAAGATGACAAGACTGTTTATGAGTACTTGTTCAATCAGAGGCGGAAGAGAAGAGCTCCTCTAGCAACACGCCAAGGGAAGAGGCCCACTAAGAACCCGAAGGCAAGGTGCAGCCGAAAAGCCCTTCATGTGAATTTTAAGGACATGGGCTGGGATGACTGGATAATAGCCCCTCTGGAGTATGAAGCGTATCACTGCGAAGGACTCTGTGAATTCCCCCTTCGATCCCACCTGGAGCCCACCAACCATGCAGTTATCCAAACATTAATGAACTCGATGGACCCAGAATCAACACCCCCGACTTGCTGTGTCCCAACCAGGCTGAGTCCTATCAGCATTCTTTTCATTGACTCTGCAAACAACGTGGTCTACAAGCAGTATGAGGACATGGTGGTGGAGTCGTGTGGTTGTAGGTAGCATAACAGTTGCTCACGTTAATACATTATGAAAGGTAATATGACACATGAAATGTAACCTCTCCTCAGACAAGGTTAACTGTATTTCTTGTTTCTAGAGTGACTATGTTTACAAGGATAGAGCAATAAATGCAGTGCTTCTACATGTCCTCTCTACCATGGGCATATTTCAGTGGCATTTGGATGCTGTCATGCAGCCTGATATAAGGCCTTGAGTTGGCGACAGGAGACTGGGTCTAACTGAAGTCCAGGATGAAGAAGGTTGTACCTCCACACCTCTAGATGGCCTGTTTTTAGCCTCAGAGGCAGTGGGTAAAGATGGTATCAGTGAGCTGTGGATGTGGCCTGTTTGATCCTTTGAACAATGTTCTTAAGGCTGAATTTATGTCTGAATCCCATGTGCTTTGTCCATCAAGAAATGTAAGAGGAGTCCTGATGTCTAAAGAGAAGGTTATGTTGTTGTGTGCTCCCATCTTGGTGTAAATAGTTACACTGCAATATGGTTGTTTTTTTCTGAAATATGATTTCTTTCTCTTGAAACTATGCATATATAAAAAGGAGTAATTAAATATTATATGTTGATTTAGTTTTAAGTTTTATGTGGAGATAGATGATGCAGGAGGTATTTGCTTCCATGTATGTTTTCCTCCAAGCTACATATCTTTCTTAAGTATCCACATTTCCATTAGTATGTAGCAAGATGTATTACTCTGTATAAGGTCCAGGTCGTTCTCAAACGCTCATAGTAAAAGTGTTCAATTATGGCATAAGATGTAATAAATTATTGACACAGTACATTGTGTCTAGCTGTCCAACTCTGCATAAATATAATGCTATTAAGAAATTATTTTTGTGTTTTTGTACAATAAATACAAGTGAAAGGGATGTTGTGGTGCAGCAGAATACCAGTGGTATTCAAAACACATCCATGTAACTCTGCTGCTACAGAAACAAACTGTGCAAACACTGGAAGAAAGATCTGAAAGTGTGGCATGGTTTGATCTGGTGGGGAATGACACTAACACTTGATGCATCTGGAGCAAAAATGAGTTGCAGAGGAGATCTGGTATCCTTTTATTCCACCTCCAAGGGCTGTGTGTTTGCATATCCTCTCTATCTATTCTAGACGTGGATTACAAATTTATCGTGGGATTACTCTGTGTATGTTTCTGCCTACAAAACTAGGTACCACATCTTCAACTGTGGACACATCAGAAAGGCTGTAAGAACCACAAGAAGTTACTGAAGTAGCTTATCAGTAGTATAAATTATAAATATTGGATATTGTTTCGTCACCATTCAAGTCACACCATTTCCTGGATCTGAACTTCCCTTTGCACATCATCACTGGTGTGGGGAGCAGCAGGGACCCGAATATGGCCCCTGATGGGCTCCTGGTCAGTGCTCTAGCTCACACTAGCAGCAAACTGTCCTAAGTTCCAGGTTAACAGCCATAAAGAAACAATGACAAAAAAGCTCTGCCCTTCCTCCTGCACTCCCCAGGTGGCTGAGCCTTTAACCAGCTTAAAATACCTCGTTACCTGGCCTTGCTGCCAGACACAGGGTGGTCCCCTGCGCAGGCAGACCTGTCACCTGCCATAACCTGCAGCACGGGGATAGAGACAGCACTGGGGGAGCTCTCACGTGGGGGAGCTCTTGGCAGTCACTCAGCACCGTGATTTCTGCCTGCAGGAGCTGAAGCTGCTTGGTGCAGGCCACGCTGGAACACACCAGGGGGGTCAGCATGCTGTGCCCAGCAGGAGGACGAATCCCTAACTACCAGGCTAACACACATGTTGATGAGCACTTGAAGCTATTTCATAACATGTGCATGAGAATTTCTGGCATCTCATGGATCTATTTTGTGGGTCAGAGCTGTCCCCAGGGCTCCTCTGTCTCCCTTCTGGACTCCCAGTGTGTGCACTTTACAGGGCTTGCTCTTCGCTGTCCTGACAGAGTCTGTTCACCAGATTAACTGCTTATCACCATCCAGTCTCATGTAATTTTCAAAACAATAAGGAGTTTTTAAATCTAAGCTTTACTAGAAGCTTATTTAGATATGATTTACCATTGCTACAGTATGAGAGAAAACATTGTCCCAACAAGCCCACGGCCAAGAGGGCATCTCGGATTCTTTTTGCCCATTCTGTCAAGCAGTCCTTTTCTTGCTCCTGGCTGTTTTCTATGTGACTGACTTTTAAGGATCCTTTCTCTAGCCCTGAGGTTTGCTAGATGACCATAAGAAAGGGTTCTCTCCTTTCTTCCTTGCACAGAAGAGTGCTGCTCCCCACGCACATGCCTGTTTGCACGTTCCCAGTGAAATCTCTGTTCTCCTGTAGGACAGACAGAGCTGTGCCATGCCATTTATTAACCACATAGGCACATTCCTCAGTGGCTTAGAGTGATCAGTTTAAAATAGCAAATACTGCCTATTTAAATTCACTTGAAGCAAATCCATGTTGTCTTAACAGACAAATTAACTCCTGGGATAACTGCCTGCAAAGGGCAGCAGTTTGCTTCAGTTCCAGCTGGATTTGTGAGATGCTGCAACAGCTTTGGAGGAGGTAGCATTGGTGTAACACTCAGTGCATGGTAGTTTGGAAATCTGAGGAGGAGAACTGCTGTACACTTCACACTGCAGAGCTGTTGATCAGCCAGAGGATCCCGGTGAGCTGGTCATGGTAAAAAATTTTTAAAACCTTGTAGCTATCTCTCTGAGGTTCTTGTTTCCTGTCTTTGTGTGAATTTCCCAATACATGAATAAAGCAAGATAAAGATTCAGGTAGATGGTAATTAAATTGAGTATGTATCAGCATCCACATGGGAAAAAAAGCTCTAAGAGTTTGCAATTACTCCAAAACAAACAGTATGAACTGAGGAAAAATTAAAAGAAATACTGATATACTGAAGTCTTAAAACCCACTCTTTAGTGATGGTTCAAAATAAAAAATCTCGTAGTAGTTATATCTTGAAGGAAAAAGAAAGGAAAAAAAAAAAAAGAAAAAAAAAGAAACCTATCAGTACATCTTTAATATCATTTTAAACAAATCTGAAACTATAGACACTAAAATGCTAGAATTATAATGGATTATTACCCCATCAGAATTGCCAGATATTTGGTTTGGCATAAACAGAAGCAATTTCAGCCCCAGGATTCAGGTTAGGAGGTAACATGATATTCAGTTTGCCTAGTTGGTAGTTCAAATATGGTGACATCCAGAAAGGGTGGTCCTGGCACTACTTAAGTTTGGTCCAGCTCACAGGCAGGAGTTTCTAGTGGTGGGCATAGTAAATGCCACGATTAGGGTAGTTTTGCCACTTTTCACTCTCAAATTGAATATCCTTGGTTTGTAAGAGTGGTTATGAACCAGTGGTGTGATGTCCAGAGTGTACTTTTGTATTTACGTTACTGAAATTGTTTGATAACTCTGGGAATTCCAGCTCAAAGCTATTCTATTCTGGAGTGGTCTAGTTACTTTCACCGTGGTGTAAATGTATACGAGCCTGTAGGTGCTTTATTTGTGTTTTGTTTGAACTATTGGGATCATCTGGCACAGACTTCCGTCCCTCCAATTAATTATTAGCTACTTACTGGATGGTTATGATCACTGAAATCTACAGTGTTGAAGAGAGTGACCTCTTTCACTGCTCTTAGGGCAGTTTCTGCTCTTAATTCATCTGAAATTTCAACATCAAAAAAAAGATGCTGTTCCAGCGAGTTGTATTTTTTTTTTCCCCCCGAATTCCACATATCCATTCAATTTCTACTCACAAACCATTGTAAATCTTGTCAAGACTTTACAGGAAAATCTGCAGTTTCAGTTATCTGGCATGAGAACAGAAACACGTATGGAAACTTCCCAAGGGGTGTGAATGGTGGACGTTACAAACACTCATTGTCACAGATACACTCAAAAGCCTTACCCAGCTGGACTTCTCCCAACCCTCACTCCTCTCTGAAGAGAGAGGTTTAGGGACAGGGCACAGTCTAAGGCTGACACACAGCAGAGAAACAGGAAAGAAACAGAGAACCTTGAGACTGCAGAAGTTTGGCACTACTTCTTCAGCCTGGTCATTATATAATGTGCAAAGATAGACACCTCAAATGATTGTTACAGCTTTCTTCCCGTGGGTGAACTGGTGTTAGCAACTGGATGGTAGAAATGCACAGAAACCTGAGCTGTAAAGCAATCCAGGTTAAAAGTTCAGCTTTCCACCTTTATGATGGCAGGTTTCACTCTCTCACTGAGAATGCCTCATTTGTATTTACTTTTTAGGGTCATTATCTGTCCCTTGAGAGTCTTTGTGAAGGTCCAAATTTCAAATAAACAGTACACTATAAGACAGGTATGTGTGGATAATTTTTGTTGTATTTGGCTAAAATATGGGTACTAAGCTCAATAGGTAAACATAAAAGTATGCCATTTAAAACAATGCATTCCCATTAGTGTTTGAATATGAGCCTAAACTCCATGTAAACTTTTACATGGTTATGTCATTTCCTGTGTAAAATGTGCTTGTTTATACAGCAGCCATATGAAAGATGCAGTAACCCACTATGTGGGCTATTTGAAGCTTTCTTTAAGAAACATAAAAACCCCTTGACCCTTGTATAATAAAAGGTGTTAAAAGATACTGCTTTTATAACATCTTAGCCAAGACTAATAAGAATATACAAAGCAAACAGTTTTTTTTTTTACTCCATAGTCCTGGTCGATCATGTGTTATTTTATGAATTTACTGCTGCTGTTGGGTAGTAAAATCATATTTAAAAATAAAATTGCTTCTCAACAAATTTAATAAAAAAGGAAATCTTAACACTTTTTGAAAAACAGTAAATACGGTGAGTTAAATACACGTTGCTGAATGCTCAGAATAGCCCATTTATTCTGTTATTCTGAGTTCACTGATGTCCCTCTTTTACTGTTTGGGGTTTGGGTTTATTTTTCAGAACTAGTTTCAACTTTCTGCAATGATTTGGCTAGCTGAAGTAATGCAAGTGGATTCAGTTTTCCC